ATGTTTTAGTTATCTGTCTCTTGAGGACAAATGGTATATTGCCACAGTCACTGTTGCCATTGAAAAGGAAGCTTAAATATTTCATTTTTTAAGGGACTTGTGGAAGTTGAATACGGGCAGTTGGTCAAAGAAATCATACTCCCCTTGATGTCTTAATTATGTTATTCTGTTCTACCCTTCACTGATCTTCAATTTTAAGTGTTTGACAAAATTTTGATGATTATGTTGATGATGATGATGATGATAATTATGATGATGATAAAATTAATAATATTAAGTTGTTTTATTTTATCTCATTTGCCAAACATAGCAATACTTGCAGGTAGGTACCTGAGGGTATTTACTCAAAACCAAATCAGTAGAGCGTGAGAAACGTCTTATTGGAACAGCCATGTGTTCTGAGCCCAGTGCTATGCCTCCATCCATTGCATTTAGCTTGCCCAGAACAGAAAGTAGCATGTACAAAGACTGCAATTAGCAATGTATGTACAAGGCTTGAATCAGTTTCTCTGGTCACCCTGGCTGGTATTAGTTACATCTCTCTCTCTCTCTCTCTCTCTCTCTCTCTCTCTCTCTCTCTCTCTCTCTCTCTCCCTCTCTCTCTGTCTCTGTCTCTGTCTCTCAATGTTAACATTACTTCTGCTTTTATTTATAATAGCATGATTTCTCTGAAAATTTAGTAGTCTCTCTCTTGTGGACAAATTTCATATAATATCAGTCACATATTAGAAAAATAAGTTTGCATAATTCATTTTTTGAAGGAACTTACGATTGAATGTGAGGAAGCTTCAAGAGCAACCCTGGAGATGGGCTTTCCTGATGACTAGATTGAGTTATTCTGCTCCAGTCCCAACTGATCTATTATTTTAAAATACTCATGCAAAATACTAATGATGATGATGATGTTGGTGGTGCTAGTGCTGGTGATGGTGATGATGATGACTACAAGGATGATGGTGGTGATGATAATAACAATATTCCTTATACTTCATTCACTTGATATTTCATCTCATTTGACCACCACAGACATGGTGACAGAATTGAGAAAGGAATCCCTCATGTATTCTAGTGCCAGCACTTGGCATCTGTCCTCTGCCTTTATTTTGACCACAACCTTTTTTTTTTTTAATGTTCATGAGTTTTTAATTCCTACAAGCTAGCATTTCAGGAATAAAGGCAGCATGAATTGCAAGTGGCAATGATTGTGTCAGATTCAACAAAATTTCCCTGGCCTTTCATGGTTTCATTTGCTGTTTCTCTTCTTTTTGTGAATCCCTTGATGTTAATATGATTTTGCCCTTATTTTTTAAACTTTTAAAATTTTATTTTCTATTTCTTTTCTGCCCTTATTTTTAATAACAGTTTCTCTGAAGATTTTGGCTGTCTCCTTCTTGTGGACAAATTTTGTTTTGTATCAATCACTGTTACATTAGAAAAGTAAGCTTGCATAATTCACTTTCTTAAAGGTATTTAAAGGTAGTTAGTTATGGGGAGTCAGCAAGGGCAACCCTGAATATGCACTTCCTCATGGCTTGATTAAATTATTCTAATTTACTCCTGACTGATCTATTATTTTAAAGTGTTTATGCAAAATACAAATGATGATGATGATGATGATAACAATATTCCTTATGCATTATTCTCTTCAATTTTATCTCATTTCACCACTATAGACAACTAGTAGGTTGTTACCAAATGGTACTTGCCAAAGACTGCATACACAAACAGTTACACAGTTGAGAATGGGAGTCCCGTGTATTCTGACCCCAGTGTCTGGCAGCTGGCACCTTTAGTTTGACTGTAACTGTTGTTCTTTTACATTCATGTTTTCAATTCCTTCAGTCAAGCATTTCAGGAGTTGAGGCAGCATGAACATGTATTGCAAGTTACAAAGTTCTGGACCAATTTCCCCAGCCACCTAGGCTGTCATCTGCTGATTCTCTTTGTGAATTCCTTGATGTTAACACTATTTCTGCTATTATTTTACTAGAACTGATTCTCTGAGATTTTAGCACTCTCTCTTTTGTGGACAAATTTCATATTGTAACCATCACTATTCCTTTGAAAAGAAAACTTGAACAATTCATTTTTTAAAAGTAATTAATTAGCCTTAGATTCTTAGAATCTAGCCACTGCTCAGATTCTTATAATCTAGCCAATAGCTTACTAATGTTCAGACTCCTTAAGAGTCTGCCCAACATGACAGATGTTCTAATAAGCCTTTTCTTTGGTTGAAAAAAAAAACTAATTAAAGTTGCACGTAGGAGACAATCAGGGTCACCATGATGGTGTGTCCCCTGATGGCCTAATTAAATTATTTTGCTCATTCCTCACTGGTGTGTGTGTGTGTGTGTGTGTGTGTGTGTGTGTGTGTGTGTGTGTGTGTATGTGTGTGTGTTTACATATATATATATATATATATATATATATACACATACACATTTTATGTGAATACATATATATATATGTACACACACACGTATATATATATACACCCCACCTTGGTTATCACCATATAACAGGAACAGTGGGCATTATTGCAGAATTATGCATAGACTATTTCTTCTGTTTCTCTTTCCATTCTCCTGAAAATGGGGCTGGGTTTTCTTTTGTCTGGGAGTTCCTGTAAAGGGTGTATTCTTCATAGCAGAAATGGCAACAATTTGCATGAACCAGTGGAACAGGTGCTAGTACAGGTGAACCTGAGTCAGAATCACAAGGCCCTGGCTGCTCCTTCTTTTGTGTTTCTTTACTTGTTCATAGGTGACTGGACAGCAATCCTGAGATGGATGACTCTAGCCTTTGGAGGCAACCCTATGAATTCTAGGAGTCAGGAACTCATGGGACCTTTGGTCAGTAGGCTGCACCATGGGATGTGCTCCCACTATCTACTACACCACCTCTTGAAAGAAAAGTTACCAACAGAAGAAGGGCCCCATGTCTGGCCTGACATGCCAGAGTTCATGGACCTGGAGGGAGATGTCCCGAAAGTACAGATTAGAGAAGAAGGTGAAATGCCTGTTCAACAATGACAATTAAGTACTTCAGGTTTTAAACTTCTCTGTACCAGCATTCCAAGTGAGGAGGATAGGAACTACAGGTTACTCTTTCATGTTTAAGTCTTTATCCATGAACTAAATCTTTTGTCTAAGTCTTTTGTATTTTCAATATTCTTTCTGAGTGAAGGCAATCAATAGCTGTCTCATTCCTGATCTGTACTGCACATTGTATAGATTTCCGATACCTCCAGTGAATTAGTGGGGTCCTTGATCCCTTGCTCTCCTTCAAGGTCAATGGGTCCTTTTACCTCTTCAGTGGATGGAAGAGTCCTCACCAGGATCCCTGGAGTTCAGCAAAGGTTCCAGGTCCTTAAAGGCCTCTCCCCACATTGGGGAATTAGCTGGGAGCACCTTGGAGTAGATAACAGAAGCTAGTTGAATTGTGAGAACAGCATTAAGAAATAGAGTTGTAAGAATAGTAGATAGCACTTCTACAGCAAGGTGATTTATGTAAATTTGTGTCATGTTACCTTTACAACAACCCTGGGAGGTAGGTGCTATTATGAGTCCCATGTCACAGATGAGGAAACTAAGGCTGAGTGAGTTTAAGTGACTTGGCCAGGATCAGACAGCTAAGTAAGTGTCTGCAAGTCTCTATCCACAAGGTGACCTAGCTGACCTAGCTTTGTAGAAAGCTGTACAAAGGACTGGGGATAAGGAGATTTGGGTTTTAGTTCTAGATCTGCCATTTACTTAATAAGGGGGAAGGGGAGAGAAGAAGCATTATAGGGCACCTGGCTGGCAATGTTCCAGGGACCTTGTTACAAATATCATCTAGTTTAATGCTCACAACAACCCTGTGGGATGGGTGCTATTATTCTCCCCATTTTACAGTTGAGGAAACTGATGCCTGCAGAGATTAAGTTACTTATCCAGGGTCACACACATATATCAGTGTCCAAGGCAGGATTTGACCTTGGATCTTTCTGACTTCAGGCCTCCTGTGCAGCCTCTTAGCTGTATGACTTTGTGCCAGTTTCTTCTGCTGCCTGTGTGGCTCTCAGTTTCCTCCTCTGTCAAATGAAGGGCTTAGACTAGAAGACCTAGGTCCTTTGGGGTTGTCAACTGGATTGGAACTGGCCTCTAACCTGTGGGTGGTTGTAGCCAACCAAACAGAGCAGGCTTGAGACAGGAGAGTCAGGACACAAACAGAAGTTTCATTAATTTCAGAGTGAGGAAAATGAGGTATGCATACAGAAATCCATCCTCCTAAGAAGGAGGGCTTAACATTCTGGACTAAAGGCAGGTCATATATACACCCTGGGCTGGACCATGACATAATCATTTTAGACTCTGTGGGAGCAGTATTGTGTCAAGTCTTGGGGTCATGCCCACCCTGCTGGGCACAGAACCAGAGGGGGAGCAGGAATGCAGTACCTGTCAGTGATGGTGAACATGTGATAGATGGCGGCCCTGTGAAATAGGGGGAGCTAAAGCCCTCAGTGAACACCTGGTGCAGGTCCAAGCAATCCTGTTGTTATGCCAAGCTGAGGACACAGCCTGTTTGTTAGGCCTTAGCTCTGGAAAACAGGGCATCTCCAAATTATTTTGACAGGTTTCTTGCTGTGTTCCAGGGTATCATCCCATACCACCTTCTCAAGGGAAGGCCCTTCTCCACTCAGAGAGCATTTGGGCTTTTACAACCCTCTTACAAAGAAACACACGTGTGAACACTAACAGAAAAGAAATAAAATGGGACTCTGTGTGTGTGCGCTGGCCTGCATCTGTGACCCTGTGACCATCTATGTGTATGTATGTGTGTGTGTGTGTGCGTGTGTGTGTGTGGTGTGTGTGAACAGGAAACCGAGCTTATATGTAGGTTTGACTCTGCTTGTGAGTGTCTGAACCCTGTGAGTATGGGAAGGTGTGTGAGAGACTGTCCCAGTGTGGGTGACTGTTGCACATCCCGCCCCCCCAACCCCCCCCATCAGTCCCAGCGTCCGTGAGCGCGCGCCCGTGTGACTGCGCCCTGGAGGACGCGTGTGCTCAGGAGAGAGAGCCTGGGCGGCAGTGTCAGAGAGGTGGGAGTCGGGGTGGAGGTGGGGGTGGGGAGGGGGGCGTGGAGGAGGCAAGGAGGGGCAGCCCAGCCTAGCGCAGCTCCTCCCTGCGCATTGCAGACAGCCTTTGTCTCCTCCCCTCTTCTCCCAGGCTCTCATCCTCGGGCCTCTGGACATCTGCCTGCGAAGGACCCAAGGACCGGCTCGCGTGATTCCCAGACGCCGGCTCCCGGCCCCTACTGCAGGAAGGGCCTCTAGCCTTTGCTCCCCGCCCTCCCCGGCTTCCAAGCCTCGACCAGTAAGTGGGGAAAGGAGGGAGGAAGGGAGGCAGGAGCGCGGCAGCCCGTACCTGCCCGAGGGCTCTTGGCCTCTTCTGGCCCCTGGGAGGAGGCACCCCTGGGCCAGGACCTAGGACCCGGGGAGGGGGGGCGGGCGGTCGCCCAGTTTTCTCCTTCCTGCGGAGGAGACGCGGGGGCTGGGGAAGGGGATCTCTTGGGGGGGTAGGGGCGGGGCTCGGCCCCTTCTCCTCTCCCGCCCTTCCCACGCCCGCTAGGGGGAGTGGGCACACATGCCCTGGGGGTTCTCTGGTGTTGGGTGAGCGCTTTCTTGGCTGGGAGCTGGACTTGGGTGCTCCATGCAGCCCCGAGGGAGGAGCTATGGAAGGAGGGGTGCGACCCCCCCAGGCTGAGGCTCGGCGTTCCCTCGCTTGAGGCCCGGGGTGGGGGCCAGGGGGTAGAAGGAGAGGGAGAGTGGGGGCGCACGCGCGCACGCGTGTGTGTGTGTGTGTGTGTGTGTGTGTGTGTGTGTGTGTGTGTGTGTGTATGTGTATGTGTGTGTGTTTATGCGCGCGCACAGGCGCTTGAGGGAGGAGCTGGGAGCTGAGCAGGACAGTCTGGACCGGTAGAGGAGAGAAGAGCTAGGTTGTAAGCTGCCAGCTATCGGCCACGACCCCCCACCGGCACCCCCACCCCTCCACCTGTCCCTATGCCATCCTCTCTCCAGGCCCTGCTGCAATTTGGTGCCTGAAATAATAGCGTCGAAAATTCAGAGAGGTCCAGTGGTCTCACCCTTCCTTTGTCAGATGAGACAGCTGAGGCCCAGAGCAGTCAAGGATGTGCCTCACAAGTGGTAGGCAGCAGAAGCAGACATTGGAACCCAGGTCTTGGGCCCCCTCGGTGTGTTGTTCCCTTTGTTGAGGTCTAAGAGGTTGAGACCCCTCAAAGACCAAAGTACAAGACGGGGTCGTCTGGAATGAATTCAGAAACACAAGCAATCTTTAAGTCAAGATGCAAAACATTTATTATTACTTTTTTCAGTGGGCAAAATTCTTAAGGAACTTGGAGAGACTGAGGATGGAGCTAGGGTTTATATGGAAAAGAGCATGGGAAAGGAATGCCAGGGACACTGATGAGGTAATCTAAAGTTCCAGGTGTCTTTGGGGGCTGTGGATGAGAAAGTGCAGGGTGTATACCGGTCAGGGAGGGAGATGACAGAGGTATGGATCTTGGGAGTCTGACAGGAGGGAGAGTCCTTGGGCTGGGCAAGGCACCCCTCTCCCTCTGTCTTGATAAGAGAATGTTCTGCAACAAGGGAAAGCTTTCTTACAAGATAGGAACTTACTAAGGAATTGGGAGGCTTCCAGACACATGATCTGAGGGCTGGGGCCTGAGCAGCCCAGCTCTGTGTAGCTGTACTAGGGAGAGAGATAAGGGTCATGCTGAGGCCCATGCATGAATAACTGCTAGGCACAGTGTCCTTGGGCTGGGGAGGAGTTGTCAGAGATAGTGTTTCTGAGACTAGGGAGAAATTGGGGTCCAAGTACAAGCACAAGCACCCAAGTACCCCATCATTCCCCCCCTTAAACAGATGGGACCTAAAATCTTTTGGGGTGAGGGATGAAGGTCATAGCTTCTGAAACTGCTTCCTGCTGAGGTTGGGCGTAGAGCTGTCCCTGCTGCCTGGGGTCCCTCTGTTCAAGGGGTTGGTTCTTTAGCTAGAGTCCTGAGCTTGGCCGATGCCAGGTCCAAGGGATGGTGAGCTGTGGTCCCTAGACAGAGGTTGGTACCCAGCCTGAGCAGTCATCTGGAAGTGGAGGATACTGAGCCTAGAGGAGACAAATCTGACAGGAAGATTAAGGCAGACAAGGGCCAAAAAGAAGTAAAAGGAATATAATCAGGAGTGGAACAAGAATAGGAGTTAATAAAGAGAGAAGCCAGGATCCCCAAGAAGAGGATGACCTTGGTGTACTAAAGGTTTCATGGATTTCTCGCATGCAATTAGCTTTTTCTAGTATACTTTCAGTAGGGAGCTCCACCTGTTGAGAATTGTTAACATACATACAGCAGGAAGTATTAGCCAGGGCACAGACCCCCTAGAAGCAAGTAGATAGTCCAAAGCTATTCGATTATCCAGGACCACATTTGCTAGGGAATCCAGAGATTGTTGAATGTCCTGGAGGCTATAAGCTGTATCATTTGCTAATTGGTGGATGGTTTCAGTCAGGTTTGAAAGAATGAACTCGTATTGCAAATGTCTGTACCAAGGCATGAGATACTCTGTTCCATTTTTAAGGTACCAGAGAACATTGTCCCAGAATCCACACTTCACTCTTGTTAGAGTGGAGGTACTGGGTGTAGTAATATTGAAAATAGCCACAGGAGGTGCCAAAAATCCAAGGGAACACACACCACAATCCTTATAAGGTGTTAAACACCGGGTGGCCACAACAGTAGTCCTGAGGTCCTGCCAAGTAGTGGCATTTCGCTTTACTTCTTCACCAGAGTCCTCACTACCTGGCCCACCCATCCCACAAAGGAAGGAGTATCCCGTAGGGGCACAGATGGGGCCTTTCTGTAAAAGGTTCTGAGCATAGGGAGAGCCTACCAGGAGAGTGGCAGGAGGGATGCGGTCATAGGTGCAAGTAGGGAGTGTTCCCTCAAAACAGGTGGTACAGCTTGCAGAGGTAAAATTCCAGGGACACCCATCACTGTAGACATCCTTACAGGTGGTACAAGTCAAAAGTCCAGCAGAGACATTTACAATCCCCCCCTTGACAGGAGTCTTTACCTGTACAGTGGCTGTAGAGCTTGTCCCCCAAGCAAGGGAATAATTCCCCGTTGAGAGACAGGGCATTGAGATAGAAAAATTTGCCCATAAAGGAGTGGCCAGTACAAAAGGGGTGGCAAAGACCTCTGAGGTGATTATATCAGGGAGGGGCGCTCTTGCAAAAACTGCCTCTGGTCGGAAATGAGGATTGCCCTGTGGGTGTGGGTGGCATACCCAGCAGTCTTGGGCTCCTCCTTTGCCTACTGAATTCCCCAGTTTAACTAAGGAGTTGTCATCCCACTTGTGAAAACCAGGGGAGCTTGAGGCATCAGTCAGAAGGAGGAAGAGAACTATTGCTATCATTGTTAGCACAGAGGAAATGGTTCCAGGCAGGGGAGAGAAAACAATTGCTTTGAAGGAAATAAAAGATAACTACAATAAGGCTAAAACATAGGAGGAGAAAAGCGCATATTACTTCACTTCTTTCCATCCACCTGTGTATTAGAAAGGACTGGGGTCCTTTGAAACAGCAGTTTAAGATCGTCTATGGGTTCACAGGAATACTCCGGAGACCCTGTGGGGGAAGCAAGAGGTGACACTGGTTTAATTCTAGAATTATGAGTCCAGCTAGGGAGACCTTCAAGTTTTACTGCAGTTGGGGTGGTAAGGATGACTCGACAGGGTCCCTTCCAAGTGACATCTAGCTGTTCTCCCTTCTGGGCCTTCCAGGACTTTAAGTATACCCAGTCTTCAGGTTGTACAGTAGCAGGACATTCTGCATCATCACCTGGAGGTTTAGGAAGGTACTTGTTAGCATATTCTGACAAAGCATTCCTGACTGCTCCTAACTGAGTTGCAAATTGAGTGACCAAATGTTGTTCTGGGTCTGTCAGGATGTCAGATGTCAGGAAAAGCCTCCCATACTGAAGGTCAAAGGGGCTCAGTTTAATGTTTTCCCAGGGTGTAATGTGGACTCTGAGCAGTCCAGTTGGGAGGTTTGTCACCCAATCCTCAGGAGTCTCCAGGCACAGCTTAGTTAGGACTCGCTTGAGGGTGTGATTCATTTTCTCCACTTTCCCTGAGGATTGTGGATGCCAGGCAGAATGAAGGTGATAGGTAATTTGAAGTGCCTCTGCCCCAGCCTGAGTTATTTGTGAAATGAAGGCCGGGCCATTGTCACTCTGTAGAGAGCTAGGCAGGCTAAACCAAGGAATAATTTCCTTTAATAAGCACTTTGATACCTCTTGAGCCTTTTCTGTTCTACAGGGAAAGGCTTCTACCCAGTTTGTAAAGGTGTCAGCAAAAACCAAAAGCAATTTGAATCCCCTGCATGGGGGCATATGTATAAAATCTATTTGCCAGTCTTCACCTGGATGGGTACCCCTCCTCTGAACAGGTTTTAAAAGAGGAGGTGGTCTGATTGCCCCCTCAGGATTCCCTGGGGCACAAGTTGGGTAGGCTTGGCAGACTTGCCGAATGGTCTCCCCCGGCTTGTGACCTGTGAAAATGAGCTTTATTAGGGACTGAAGGGCATTCCTCCCCAAATGTATGGCCTGGTATAAGCCAGACAGCAGTTTCCACTGGCTCTCCTCAGGGATAAGGAGTTGGCCTGTGGGTGTCTGAAACCACCCAGAGGAGGTGAGGGTCTGTTCTTGGGGACTATAGGAAGGATTATAGGAGTCACGGACCTGTGGGAGTAATGGTGCCATCATAGTTAGTTGGCGGGCAGCATCCTTTGCTGCCACATCTGCCAGGCTATTCTCCACAGCTTGATCTGTATCTCCTTTCTGATGGCCCCTGCAAAATACAACAGCCACCTCCTGTGGTTTCTGAACAGCCTGGAGAAGTTGTAAAATCTCCTGGGTGTGTTTAATGGGAGAATTCTTTGCTGTAAGGTACCCCTTTCTTTCCATATTGCCCCACAAGCATGTAAGACATGGAAGGCATATTTAGAATCAGTAAAAACATTTGTTCTTTTATTTTCCCCCAATTCTAGGGCCCTAGTGAGTGCTATTAGCTCTGCCTTCTGGGCAGAGGTCCCAGGGGGCAGAGGCTTAGCTTCTGTGGTACAGTGTAGGCTGACTACTGCATACCCTGCCCTCCTCACCCCTTGTTCTAAGAAACTGGAGCCATCAGTATACCATTCTTCATCTGGATTAGGAAGGGGACGTCTTTAAGATCAGGGTGACTGATTTTAGATTTGATCTGGGCCCTACCTCTGGGAATGAGTTTGCTCCTGAGGGAGTCAGTCAC